TTCACGTCACCTTTCTAATATCATGGAGCTGCACAGGATAGCTCTTCCCCTCCCCTACCCCACCAATAACAGAAAAATTAAGTTATTGTGACCCCCTGTTGGAAAAATACTGAAATCTATGAAAGACAACCCACAGAATTACAGAAAAGGAGAGTTAGAAGGGACCCCAGGCAACCATTTATTCCAACTCATATGGAAGGAATCCCACTCTACCATACCTGACAAGTGGACATCCAGCTTCCACCTGAAGATCTTCGAGGAGGTGGGGAACCCCCTATGTGATGTTACTGGTGACAGCAGATGTACAATTGGGAGTCATATAATTAAAAACAAAGCAGTCAGTCCTCTGCCACAACAGAGGCAAATCTCAAGCTTCTTTCTATGAGGTCTTTTGCCTCTTGGTTCATATTCTCAGTTAAGTAAAAACTTAAGGAGCACCCATACTATAAATATCTACAAAATGCAAGTGACACTTCATTTTTGCTTTTTCTTTCAGGGGGTGCACAATATGACCAAAAACACGTCATTCTCAACACTGCCAACCAAGAGAAGCTGACACAGGTTTGGGAGGCCTTGATCTTGTAATGCTGGACAAAGAAGGCAAAAGATATTCCGGAGCTACAGATAGAAACTTAAATACATGGAACATTCAATTTGAATTCTAAAAAACCAGCATTCAGCATTGAAGCACATCGTGCCTGAGAAATTCATTCCATCTTTTCAGGACAAAGTTTGCACTTATACTACAGCTTGTCACTGAGTTTTGTCAATTCTGATTCTGTCCCTTTCCATATATATATGTATGGGGGTGTGTGTGTATATATATATATATATACATATATATATATATATATATTTAAGGAAATGCTTAACAAAAGTGCCTTATTAGCAGGTGTTTTGTTATTGGAGAGTTGTTAATATTGAATCTGTTTCAAATTATTCCCTAAAATGTCTTGACAGAAAAGAATGTAAACATATTAACCAACCAAAACATTGTGGACTCATAAAAGAAGTTGAACTGTACCAAGGTGGGGAACAGTGGAAGCTGAAATTTGCAATATAAAGGATAGATCATTCACCAGCTGAAAAGGTCTAGTTCTGTGCCTGGCATACAGAAGGCTGCTTCATGATGTTTGCTGAATTGTTGAAAAGAAATGTAAATAATTTATTAGGACCATGATTGTGGTCCCCAAGATTTTGGGGTTGTTATTCCTTAATTATGCCACACCAGGCGCTTCTAGGGACTTTCAACCAAAGCCAGGGTAGAACACAAAGCCTTAAGTCATGTATATTCATGATGTAAGAAGCCATTTAAGTCCAGTCAAAATGTTTTTCCTTTAGGCAGCCTTTTAAAATGGCAGTACCCCTGGGGTACTAGCTAGTCTTAGCACAGCTGTGCCACTGGCCCAGTAAATGTTCCTTGGCCGTTATACCTATCACTATAATGGTGTGTGGCCCTAAACGGTTCTGAGTGAACGTTGCCCAAAAGCTTTTTTTGGGAAGAGGGATGGTTCCATGCAGCACAGTAACACGGCCTTTTCTTATAAGCTTAGAAATGTTTTCATTTGTTTACTCATCTTTGTGTAATAATGTGATCCTTCTCTTAAACTCAAAAGCTTCCAGGAGAGTGGGCTCCATTTCCAGTCCTGTTAGCTGATTGTACTTGCTTCTTTTGTGAAAGTGCATTGGGCCCTGCACCCTCATTATCTCCCTAGCTCCAGAGAAATGGATAGATAGACCTAGTACTTGGGTGAGCAGACACCCCTCTGTCAAGGCATCTTTGGGGTTGGGTGCCCAAAGTGAGGCAGTTGAGCACATGCAACAATTAACTGGCTTTCAGATAAGTTGGTCAAATTGTAGTTACCTCCCTTCCTGCAAACATTAACCAGATCCTAAAATCTGTATGATAGCAGGTAACTTCATATATGAAAGGTGAAGTGAATAAAAACTGCTTAAAATACTGGGGCATCAGGGTGCTTTTTATTAATGCAGTGTGATAGTTGTGATGACCGCAGTGGGCTCTTCTCTAACATTTTCCTTCCTCACCCCAACTGGTGCTCACTTTACAGAACACTGGTGCTTTTGTTCTTGTCTCTACGGAAGCAAATCTCTTAATCTGATTCTGTCTCTCTTGAGTGTGATAAAAACTGAGTATTGAAGTTTTTGTCTCTGAGCTTCAAAATAAACAGTCTGTCATGATAGAGGTGAAATATATGTCTGTCTCTCCTTCATCAACATTTCCTTCAGGTTTTAAGCTTTCTTTTTATTATGAACACTGGTGTGGTCAGGCCTTCTAAGTCTAACCCTTGTTTCTGCTGCCTCGTGTTAAATTTATTTCATGAATATACTCCTTTCATGTTAACCTGACTCAGTAGAGCCTAACACATTACCGTTTGTTAGCCACGGCACAACACAACACTCTAAAGCCAAAAAAAAAAAGTCGGTTGGTGGATTAGAAATGGGAATGCAACAATGAAACAGGATGATGGTAAGAGTGAAATAATGCTGTGTGTGTGGACCAACTGGAAACTGTTAGCAGTCTGTTAACAGCAAATGAATCTCCTGCCACCATCCTATTTCAATACCATGTCTAGCTCCTGAGAACACTTAAGTGGACTGTGGATTTGGCTGCTGCTACAGCACTGAGTGAAAGTGATCATTTTGTTCTCCTGGGGGAAGAGAGATGAAGCCAGGCAGCTGCAACTGCAGAATCTGGCTCTCAATAATGTGCTCATTTGTGCTGCTCTTTTGTTAAGAGGCTCATCTCTAGAGCAGGGCTCCTTAAATTGATGTCTATGGATTTAAAAAAAAAAGTCTGATAACTATTTCAATATGATTGGTTGCCCTTGTGATCCTATGTATTTTACTTACTTAAAACATGTTATTCTGAGAGGGTCCAGAGGCTTCCCTAGACTGAGGAGGTCCATGACACAACAAAGATTAAAAAACTGCTCTAGAGAAAGCTACCAAGGGATGATGACACTCTTACCTCCAGCCACTCTAGGAAAAAGGACCAGGCAGCTTTCTTATCACCATCCACCTTTATGTGTTCAAGGGACAAGCAGCTGTGATGGTTCTGGGTGGAAGCTAAAAGGCACCACAGGAGGAAAGAGTCTGCAAATGAACACGAAAAGGGCAAAGCAGGGTGGACAAAGCCAGACAAACAATGAAAGCTGTGGAAAGCCCTCTTCCAAAAAGCCAGTGACTCCAGCATAAACAGAGGTGAAGCAGCTGAAAAAAGGTTAAAGCAAGATGGAGAAACCTCCTATGATGGGGGCAGGAGGGGCTCACCAGGCAGGGCTAGGGAGCTGACCATAACAGAGCTTCTAGGCAAGGGAGAGTGTTGGGGGGTGGGGAGTGGGAAGGCAGAGGGGGAAAAATAAGCTGGAGAAGTGAATGAAGAATGAGTCACAGGAAACACAGTTTTGGAAATGGATGCCTGAGTGTGGGTGTGTGTGGGGAGGCGCAGAGAACACAGAGAGGAAATCAACAAAAAAAGGATTTTTCAGCTTCGCCAGACCAATGGTAGGTCAGGCTGGAGAAATCCAATTCACAGTGAGGGAGAGTCTAAACACCTTGAATTGAGAAGTGACGGTTCTATATTTAGAGTAACGGCATTGGTCAAACTGGTACAGATGAGCACTCAGACAGAACGGGGCCCAAGTAAAAGGATCTTTCTGTTCTGATGCAAAAGAGAACGTGCAAAAAGAGAAATCTAAGTTGACTGGGAAGATGGGCTACTGATCAGTGCTAGGATCTAAAAGGCACAGCTAACATGGCTGAAAGCATGAGGAAGTCCAGATAGTTGGAGGAATTATGAGTTGTCAACGTGGGCACCCATGGTGCCAGGTTACAATCCATGCATGCCTTCTCATCTTTGTTCCCCATTCATTGTCCCATAAACACTCTGCAGAGGTCCACTCAACATGTGCCAGGGGCCTACCCTCTAGGTCTTTGGACATTAAATGGGTGCCAAACCTGGCCCGTTCATTTCATTCCTCGCTCTTGGTTACATGACCAGCCATTTTCCAGTTCTACATCCATCTTTTATACCACTTCTGGGACACAAATTGTTCTTGGTAATATACTGTAGCCTTTTTATGTTTTTATGCCCACTATGTACCTCCCTCTGTATGACTCACAATTTAGATTCTCTGAAAATTGTCATATTCTATAATTCATGGGCCATATAGCATCTATGGAAGACTATTTCTGTTAAAAACAGGGATTTTTGTTGCATGGAGGAAGAAGCTTGGGGCTTTGGGGAAAAAAATTAAAACATATATTGCAAAAAAGTCCTCAAAACAACTTAAAGCTGTCTGGTTTTTACAGTTTGCAAAATGGATTCTCATCTGATCCTCATAATCCTATGAAGTTGGTAGCTCACATAAGATTATTTCTTACAGATAACGAAGCATGGTGTAGAGGAATGGCCTGACAGCCAGAAAGCCCTGAATTCAAGCTCAGTCTGACCAATATTGGTGTGTGAATCTGAACAAATCACTTAACCTCTCAGTGCTCTAGACAATTTTCTAAGGCTGTACAAGTTACAGGAAAGGTGCTACCTGCACTGACAGAGGGAGTTTCCTCATCCTGGAGCTCCCTATGCCAATGAAGCCACAGGTCCACCCCTGTCCCTACAGAAGAGGAACGGGCTTAGAGGAGGAAAAACTTGGCCCAGGTCAGAATGAGTGAGTGGCAGAAGCAGGACTCTGGAGGTCCACACCCAGTGCTCCTCCCACAATTCCATGCCTGCCCACCTTCTGACAGCCCTGGGCTGTCAGGCCTTCCCTCAGCTGCCTGCCTCCAGACTCCAAAGAGCAAGGGGCAGTGCTAGAGGCCTTCAGCACTGGTTTCTGCAGTCGAGGGCTCCTTTAAGAGCCTCCTGGAGGCTGTCTCAGGGCAGGCAGAAGTCCTACCTCTCCCTGGAGCACTCCTATTACCTAATGAATTAGGATTTTCAAAAAGAACATGATGCAAGAAGCAGCTGCAATCAGCTCTGGTTCAGTTTCATTCTGGCAGCACTTCACATGGGCAGTGGATAATTCTAAGTCAGGAACACTTAAATAAGACTTGTGGCTGGAGACTCAGGGAAACGTAAAGACATTTCCCCTCCTCTCCTGAAAACTATCAAAACTCATGCTCATTAAACCTCTGATAAATGTGGAGAGTCAGGAAGGAAACGGGGGCACACACCAGAACCAAACAACAAGGGTGAGACCTGTTGATCCACAGCCAGTGTATTTTCTTTTTCTTAAACTACGTTAACCACGGTCTTTCCTCGTGCATGTCCACCTTCTGTCTTCAGGAAGGCTTGGGGAACTTGAGAAAAAGGGAAGGTTTCTTCAATAACTGGTCGGATCTGTAAAACATGAGTAAAAAGACAATGTTAATTGGTTAATGTTAATAATAATGTGAATCTAAAGGTAGAAACAGGTACATCTTCAAAGCCCATATACAGTTCTAAGGTGCAGTCCCAAGGTGAGGAGTACTAGCACACTACAGTGGGTGGCCTCAGGGGACAGGGGACCCTGTTCACAATTCCAGGGCAGAAAAAAGTGCTTGTAGTCACTCACAGACCACAGCACAGGCCAGGAGAACAGTGACCACATCACTCCTTAGATCATGTCACCTCAGAAGAATCAAAAGTTTACAGATCCCTAAAACTAGCTCTGTAAACAGCAACATGAAAAACCTGAAGTTTGGGACAGTGCCTCCTCCACCAGGAGCAGAGCCCAACTTTAACAGAAAGTTAAAAGTCAAGAAATAGGCTGGGAAAATGAGCAATTAACAAAAAAAGACCTGACCACAGAAAGTGACTTTGGTAACAGGATAGACTAAAACACAAATTCAGAAGAAAACAATAAGGTCAGAAGAGCTACATCCAAAGCCTCAAAGAAAAATGTGGATTGATCTCAGGCTCAAAAAGAATTCCTAGAAGAGCTCAAAAAGGATTTTAAAAATCAAATAAGAGAGGTAGAGGAAAAATTAGGGGAAAAAATAAGAGTAATGCAAGAAAATCATGAAAAAAAGTCAAAAGCTTGGTAAAGAAGGCACATAAAAATACTAAAGACAATAACATCTTTAAAAACAGAATAGGTCAAATGAGAAAAGAGGCACAAAAATCCACTGAAGACAACTCCTTAAAAAGCAGATTTGGCCACATGGAAAAAGATGTAAAAAAATTCAATAAAGAAAAGACCTCCTTCAAAAGTAGAACTGACCAAATGGTTTTAAAAAGAAGTACAAAAGTTCACTGAAGAAAATAATTCCTTAAAAGTTAGAATTGGACAACTGGAAGTGAATGTTTCCATGAGACATGGAGAAACAACAAAAATCAAAAGAATGAAAAAATGGAAGAAAATATGAACTATCTCATTGGAAAAACAACTGACCTGGAAACTAGATCAAGAAGGAATAATTTAAGAATTACTGGACTGCCTGAAAGCCATGATCAAAAAGTATTCCTAGACATCATCTTTCAAGAAATTATCAAGGAAAACTGCTCTGATATTCTAGAACCAGAGGGTAAAATAGAAATGGAAAGAACCCACAGCTCATCTCTTGGAAGAGATCTCAAAACGAAAACCCCCCAGGAATATTATAGCCAAATTCCAGAGCTCCCAGGTCAAGGAAAAAATATTGTAAGCAGACAGAAGAAAACCCAATTCAAATATTGTGGACTCACAGGCTCACACAAGATTCAGCAGCTTCCACATTAAAAGCACTCAGGGCTTGGAACATGCTAATCTGAAGAACAAAGGAGCTAGGATTACAATCAAGAATCACCTACCCAACAACAGTGAGTATGATCCTTCATGGGAAAGAAATGGATGTTTAATGAAGCTGAGGACTTTCAAACATTACTGATGAAAAGACCAGGGCTGAACAGAAAACTGACTTTCAAATACTAGACTCAAGAGAAACATAAATAGGTAAACAGGAAAGAGAAATCATATAAGATTCAATAAAGTTAAACCATTTGCATTCCTCCAAGGGAAGATGATACTTGTAACTCCTCAGAACTTTATCATTAATAGGGCAGTTAGGAGGAGTAGAGAGTACATAGTATACAGAATAGTAGATAGAGGGCATGGGCATAAACTGACTATGATTAAATAACTAAAAATAAAATTAAGGGGTGAAAAAGGATGCACTGGGAGAAGGGGGAAGGGAGAGGTAGAATGGCATAAAGTATCACACATAAAAGACGTGCAAATGAGCTTTTACAGTGGAGGGGAATATGAGGATGAGGGGTGGCAGAACTGGCTCAAAGAAGCCAATATACACACTCAGTTGATTATGGACATGTATCTTATTCTAAAGGGAAATAGGAGGAGAAGAAGATAAGAGAAGGGGATGATAGTGCTGATAGAAGGGAAGGTAGACTGAGGGAAGCAGTGGTCAGAAGCAAAATACTTTTGAGGAGGGACAGGGGGAAAGGAGAGAGAAAAAGTATGATAAACAGGAAAAAATAATAGGATGGAAGGAAATATACAGTTAGTTATCATGACTGAAAAAATTTTCATAGCAAGCTTCTCTGATAAAGGCCTCATTTTTCAAAATATCGAGAACTGAGTCAAATTTGTAAGAATACAAGTCATTCCCCAATTGATAAATGGTCAAAAGATATGAACAAGCAGTTTTCAGACGAAGAAATCAAAGCTATCTATAGTCATATGAAAATGCTCTAAACCACTATTAGAGAAATACAAAATAAAACAACTCTGAGGTACCACAGCACACCTATCAGATTGGCTAATATAACAGAAAGGGGAAATGACAAATGTTGGAGTGCATGTGGGACACTAAAGCACTGTTTGTGGACTTGTGAACTGATCCAACCATTATAAAAAGCAATTTGGAATTACGCCCAAAGGGCTATAAAATTGTGCATACCTTTGACCCAGCATTACCTCTACTGGGTCTGTATCCTAGAGAAATTTAAAAAAAAAAAGAAAAAAGGAAAATGATCTATATATACAAAAAATATTTATAGCACCTACTTTTGTGGTGGCAAAGAATTGGAAATTGAGGAGATGCCCATTAACTGGGGAATTATTAAACAAGTTCTGATATATGATTGTGATGGTATATTACTGTGCTATGAGAAATGACGAGAATGCTTTCAGAAAAACCTCGAAAGACTTACACAAACTGGTAAGTGAAGTGAGCAGAACTAGGAGAACAGTGTACACAATAAAAGCAATATTACAATAATCAACTGCGAATGACTTAGCTGTTCTTAGCAATACAATAATCTAAGACAATTCAGAAGGACTTATAAAAAAAAATGCTATCCACCTCCAGAGAAAGAATTGACAAAGATGAATGCAGATCAAAGCATAAATTTTTTCCAACTTTCTTTACTTTTCTTGTTTCCGGTCTGTTTTCTTTCACAACATGACTAATATGGAAATACATTTTGCATGACTACACATGTATAAGTTATGTCAAACTGCTTGCTGTCTCAAGGGGGGAGGGTGTGTCAGAGGGAGGGATAGAATTTGGAACTCAAAATTTAAAAAAAAAGTGATAAAAATTGTCTTTACATGCAATTGGAAAAAAAAAATTAAAATAAGTGGATAGGTTGTCTTCCCAACAGAAGTATGAAGTCCCTGAGGCAAAGTCTATGGCTTCCATCACTTCTGTATCTTCCATGACATCTAGCACTGGGCAAAGATTTTAATAAATGCCTAGAGCATCAAAATCTCTTCCTGATGCTTCTTTGCTTTGAGTGGCACCTGCCGTCCAAGGTGGGAAGCCAGGAGAGGGTCTCCATGTCAGAGTATGGGGTGGTGGCAGCTGGAATGCCGGAGGAGAGTCATCACACCCTGTTCATAATGCCCAAGTGCCTGCTCATTATTTTTAATGTGCCATTTATTCTGTCAATAGCCTCCCTCTGAAATGAGACACTTGTTAACTTCCTCATCCTCCTCCCCTCCAGGAATGCAGCTGAACCCAGATAAAAGTTTAAATAAAAATCGATAATTACCCGGATGGTATTTCCACTGAATAGCTCTGAAGGCTCCATGGGCAGAAACAGATTTGTCATAAGGCAAAAATCTACCCATGCATTTTACAAGCAGTTTTCTTTTACGAGTGCTATGCTGATTACAAGCAAGGTAACAGACCATTTACTCTCATAAGATGCATGCTTTAAGAAATTATATGGCTGGACAGAAAATGAAACTAAAAGAAAAAAATTAACCAGCTATAAAAGTACTCAGTTCAGTCAAGCCACAGCAAGAACAGACCACAGCTCTGTAAAGCTAGTAGGGACCAATGAAGTAATTTAATCCAACTCCCGTGTTTCACAGATGAGGAAACTGAGGCCCAGAAAGGATAAGTGGTTGGCCAAGGTCACAAGGAGAAGGGGCAGAGCTTCAGATTCAAACTTGTGATTCTGAATTCTGTGCTTTCTACTATATCCCCTCTTTTTATTGATTGCCAAATTTACTTGCATTCTCCAACTCCACCGCCAATCCATCACCAAGGACATACTAAGTGCCTATAAGGGTCAGGCACAGTGCTAAATTCCAGAGACAGAAAGACTCAAGAGAAGCATAAAAAGGTAAGCAGGAAGGAGGAAAGGTGCCTGGCATTAAGGAAATTACATTCTAAAAGAGAAGAACACGTCCACGTGTAAGTATATGCCCAACATAAGAGTGTGTATGAGACATGCAGTTTGGGGAGGGAAGGCACTCTCAGCGGTGGGCTTCACAGAGAAGGTAGAACTTGAGCTGAATCTGGAGGGAAAACCAAGGACTCCAGGAAATGCAGGTAAGGAGGCAATGCATTTTGGGTATGGAAGACGACTAGTGCAAAAGAGAAAGAAAAAGATGAATAAAGGGGAGAAGGAATGGGGAGAGAGGGGAGAGAGAGATAACGTGTAAGGCTAGAAAGGGAGACAGGGGCCAGGTTTTGAAGCTTGTATTTGGTTGGAGTTTCTTAAGTAGGTGAGTGAGAGTGAGAAATAGAGGGGGACACTGAGGTTACAAATCTGGGTTACTGGAAGGATATGGTACCTTCTAAAATAATAGGGAGGTCTGGAAAAGAGGTGGGTTTTTGAGGAAAAGCACAATCTAAGAAAAGCCACCAGCAAAGACAGGGTGTCCCCAAAGGCTTAGTGCAATCCACGGGGATGGGAAGCTTTCAGGAAGGAAATGTGCACATTTCTTTATACAGGTGAAGGAGTGGGATAAAAGACACATAAAGAGGAGTGAGTGGGTGTGATATTTGTATCCCTTCACTCTAGAGGTAACAGGGAAAGAAAGGAAAGGAACAGGCATTTACATGCTACGTGCCAGATGCTGCACTAAATGCTTTACAAAGATTATCTCATTTGATCCTCACAACACA